TTGTCTGGCAGCGCATTAGTTTGAGTCCAAGCACGAACACAATTATTAAATTAATTTAGTATCACGAGAAAACAATCTTGTTATCTGCGAGATACTAAAATTAATAAGGTCGTTATCCGGAACGAGATAACAGTGCCATAAAAAAAAAAATCCACGGCCCCGTTTCTCCGGCGCTTCCGTACTTTTATCCGATATTCATCAATCAGATTCTAAATGTTGAATTGAAGGGTTTTGGTTGGGCAAAACATTTCTAGGATTCCTGGCCATGGGGAGATTGAGGCAGCTTAGGTGAGCACGAGGGATTGAAGGGGATGAAGGGGGGGGGGGGTGTACAGTAAAAGAGAGGGAAAAGGGGATAGACGTATCAGATCAATAAAGCACAGATGAGGGAGTCCCATGGGAAGAAGTGGGTTTGTTGCCATCTGGCCTGTGCTGGGTTCACTCTGGCAACGTGCAAAATGAACCCCAGTCCAGTCGTTTCATCCCCACAACGAAGCTGCCGCACAACAAAGTTAAGGATATCTGCACCGGCTCACCAGCCTAAACCTTTATTGCACATAATGATGCTGCTTTGCTAAACTTGTTGTTTACCAAATATGCTACACAAGAGGAATGCACCGCCGGTACTGCAGTACACTAAAGCTTCCCTCTAAACACAACATGATATCACTCTCATGCCAGTTATTGGTGTGAGTGCTCTCAGAGTAATTTAAGGGCTTCCTTGGCTCGTCATACGATGCCTCTCCGTCTATTACAGTACATTAGAAGGAAAGCTTGCAAGGAGACTGTGGATCGCGTTGCTAGGGCTGTTAGTTCTCTTCAGTTGCTGCTGTTCTGTGAGGGACAGGTGGGCTCCTCTTCCTCGTCAGGTCTGTGTTGGTAAAAAACTAAAAACAAATTTTACATGTTAAAGATGGATACACGTGAGTGAGTGGGAGATATACAGTATGTAACATAAACATGGGACATAAACAAGCATCGAAAGACACACACACACACACACTTAGTTCCCTTTTTTCCGCAGGACCGGCCACCTGGAACAAAATCCTTTTCTCGGAACCTGATATGGGACAGTGAATGTCTCCTGGACCACCCAACCTCTGTCCACTCACTGGTGACAGATGGTCACTGTGTGTGTGTGTGTGTGTGTGTGTGTGTGTGTATGTCTGTGTGCATGCACCTGTGTGCATGTGCCAAAATGGATAAAATTTTGTTTTCACATCCACTTTTAATTGATAATAGACTAGTGAATGCACAACAGCTGTGTTCCAAAAGTAAGTAGACCTCCAGATTTTAGCTTTGGCTTACCCTCTTTTTTTCACAAATTGTAATATTATTTAAAGGGAAATAAATCACTCAGAATGATCATAAAACAGACTCTTATACTGTGGCACAGATACAAATGTCAAACTATAAAGGTACTCAGAGAGCGCAGACCTCCACCAAGACTGATAGCCCAGTTTTATATGCAGATCTGCACACCATTCACATTAATTATAACATTGTTTGGGTCATTGATTGTGCAGGGTGGAAAATGCATTGTTAATCTAGACATCTCACATCCGTGCTTGTTTCTTACATTCCTGCCACATTTGTTTCTGGCTTTTATGCTTTGTAATGGCACACCATTCACTTTAATTACAATGGGTCACGCATGCGCAGTGAATTCGATTTATTTTTCCATAGAAAACATTGTTACAGTTGGAAGAATTTGTTTGTGGATCCACCCCATAAATCCAGTTCTTCCTTGGCCCAGGCTTCACTCTTCCACCAGGTTTCATGAAAACTGGGCGAGGAGGTTTTGTGTAATCCTGCTAACAAACAAACAAGATGTTGTGGTTTATTTATTCGTCTTTTCATTAAAATTACTTTAACTGGATTAAAACATTTCATGATTTTGCCACGTCCTCCAAAGCCAACAGAAGAGACCAATCAAGTGGTTGTTTCGTCAGAGTGTGCTTTTATTGCTAAGTCATCTTCGTGTCATCTCAGCATTGAAAAGCAGAATTTTTAAAGAGCAATTTCAGGTGGAATAAGCAGTGCTTCTCTTTAATGAATTACAGGGGCCACACTGAATATTAAAATAATCTATTTTGGCCCATATAAGTGACTCTGAAATGGATTTTCTTTCTGTCTATTTCTCTCGTTGCATCCATGCATTATTTATCCACCCATAGCAACCCAGCTTCCTCTCTCTCAGCACACGTGTCCCCCACTGCCCCCAGTCCGTAGTGGTCTATAAATCACTGTCTCATCAAGATGACACATGTAGAAACGTCATTCTTTAATCTTAAAAACACGTAAGACAAGTTTTAACTGTAGAAATCAGAGAAATAAAAACCTACCATGCTTGAGATTCACTGGTAGGTACATGGTGGCAAGTGTTATCTATATTTATAGATACTCAGACTTACACCAAATCAAGTTAAAATCTCTATAATGGACTTTACATTATCGTATCAGGAATCATTCTGTATGAGCACCATCTAGTTCAGTGCACTTGTGTTTGAGGTTTACCACAACGATTACAGTGAACTCCATTAAAAGAAAGTGATAGAGAGGTACAAGCTCATTTATTTTGCTGCAGGGAAATTCAGTTTACAAAGACAGTGCACAAACTTCACAAACCACTTTGTCAATCGTTTAAACGAACCTGCTGTTTTTCTGTGTACAACGCATTGAACAGGATGACATGTATAGTCATGATCTAAAGTAGAAACTCCCCAGTTTATATCAGGCCAACGTTTGGCCTCCGGTGTCAGCCTTATCCAACAGTAGGTTGCTTGTTCTTAAAGGCACCAGTGTTATCCTGTGATTACACTTAACTCCCACAGATAAATAATATTTAACATGGGGTGGGCAAGGAACGAATATTAGTGTCTCATTTAGTTGTTGCATACTGCTGCAAATATAAGTGGATGTTATACCTGTTTGGATCTCATGTAGGCTATCTGGGTTAAAGGTGCACTCACACAGCCGGTCCTGAGAGGAAGTGTGTTGATGTGGCTACATTATATTAAATTCAAATGTTTCTTGGTTGCAGTGAGACTTTAATGCAGTTGGCACTGGTCTCTAAACCACATGTTAAATGGACGATTTAGACAAGACTTCATTTGTCAGATGATAAAACATTAAGGTGGTTGGTTTGTCCGACTCAGCAAGAACATCCCAGAGCATGAAGCTGTTAAATAGAGAGCAGGTTCGTGTGTGTGTGTGTGTCTGTGTGTGTAGGCGTGGGTGTGTGTGAGTGTGTGTGTGTGTAGTGGGCGTGGAGAGGGAGATGGCTCTTTCCCTGAAGCCGTTGAGCTGAGCGCGTCTGACATATGAGCCCAGTAGGAGAGAAGCGCACAGAGCCGAACATCCAATGGCTCAATCTCAGCGAGTTTACTCACTGGCTGGATTCTGTCTGCAGCCAGAGCTTCTGGACTGAGTAATTTCCCGCTGCTACACATAGTTGACAGCGAAGAGTTTTCTTGGAGAGTTTCTTTACCTAGAAGTAAACTCAGAAGAAGCGCACGGACGCAGCGATGACAGCCGAGTTTATTTCACTTCGAAGTCACTGAGACCCGCATCCTGCTGCGCTGCATCCGATCATAACTGACCCTTCAGGGAAGATACAAAGGACATACAGGATGAATTCCGCTTTTATAGCAGTGTTACTTGGAGTGGTGAGTGGCTTTGCATGTTTGCCCTAAACCTAACCTAGATAACACCTGCGCAAATGCGCATCCACGCAGCCCAATAAGGGGGTAGATATTAAGTGGTGGGAGTTTGTGAGAAACTTGTTCCTCCTTTAGCAGCCGTCATGTTTTAGCAGGAAACTTGGCAAACAATTTGCGTAAAGTTACAGGCTTTTCCCTGCATCATGCTTTTAACTTATACACAGTTCAATTTTCACCAATTTGATCTCTTTAATCTCTTTATAGAACCTTTAATTCTGTAAAGTCAGTGTCCTTGCACCTGCCCTGTCTTCAGTCCATGGGCTGACAATATGAAGCAGAGCGGATGTATGCAGCAGCCTTTCAGGTTGACACATTATAGCTCCAGTTGCCGGATCTGTAGTTCCACCCTTCTCAGTTACATGTGGCCCTACAGACTGCAGGACAATAACAATGTCGCAGTGGTCTCTGTGGAAGAGCTCACCAATAAACCGTGTGCATTAAATGATGAGGGGCTTTGGTGATTTTACAGATTTTTTCTCTATTAGAAGAAACAGCTGAAATCTTGAGAGGATACATGGAAACCCTGGGGAGCCACAGCTCACAGTCACCCTGATTTATCTCTAATTCCCTCGAGGCCGTGCAAGCACAGGAAGGAAATATATTTTCTAGTGTTTTCTTCTATCTGACAGTACATGGTCATTCAGTGACACCAGCTTGTCAAGGTCCTGGTTTAGAAACAGGGCTGGATCACTGATACATGACAGCTGCTCCCACTGATGGGTATGCATCCTCTGCTGGCTCAGCGCATGCAATATTGATACAGTCCGAACCATCCCCCTCCACACTGTTCCTCTCCTCCTTCCACCTCACACTCTCATCCCTCTCTTCTTCTTCTTCTTCTTCTTCTTCTCTGTTTGTCTATCTCCTCATAAGCAGATGATGATTCAGCATTGTTTGTGAAGGCATTAGCTGTAATGTCTTTCCCACAGGTGTTCCCACAGCAGTTCATGCCTGGATTTGAATTAGGGCCAGTTTATTGGAGGGCTGGTATAGTGGAGCTGACAGCTGAGGTCCAGAGGTTAAGTGCCTCCAACTGAAAATTGACTGGAACATTAATAAGATTGGTTGGAGCTCTGAAGTTATGTGTCCAGATGCCTTCTGCGCACGCATTTGTGTGCGCTTGTTGCTGCTGAGTGTGTGATCAACTTGCTTCTTGCTTTAGCTTGAGGGAGATCGCCTGACAAAAGTTGAAGAGTGCAATCTCAAATGCAATTACAGGAAACGTGCAAGTCGAGCTGCAACTTGCTAAGTGCTGTGCATCCTTTTCTTTCATTCCACAAGCTATTTGCTCAAATCACATTACCCATTAATTCATCTGCATGCACAATTTAGCAGTCATTAAGGATGCACTTGAATCTCAGTTTTCGGTCTCTAAGATGTTTTGGTGTTTCACCCACACCCGGAGCCAGAATAGGGTCAAAGGAAAAAGTACAAGATAAACGCTGGAACACTTGGAGTCATTTCAAAAGTGTCAGTCAGACATTTTGGAGGAGGTTTGTTCACATGTGAGATTGTTTATGCATGTGCGCAAATGCATGCATGCCAGTGGGTGTGTACACTATATAGGGGGGCAGTTCAGACGCAGGAGAGGGATGAGTGTGTGTGTGGTGACAGATTTGCTATATTTTCTAATTGAGCGCTTGTTGCGTAAGGTGTGTGGTGAGGTTAAGAGCTGCGGTGAAACAATGACAGAAATGTATGGGAAGTTCTCAAGACAACAACATTATGAAAGAGTGTGACATCTCAAATGGCAACTTTTCAAGAAACATATTGATACGAAAACCCTTTTTGTGCATATTCAATGGGTTCTGTAGGTTGTGAAACATAAAAATCTGCGTCTTTTTGAACTTTTTATCAGCTTGAGGTGACTAACATGAATTGTTTTTGTTGTCTCTCAAAACTCTGCCAGTTGTAAAAACAGGAAAGTTTCAGGAAATATCTGAATGTTTAGATATTATCAGGGATGTCGTATGAAACATTTCAAGTCAAATGTTTCCCCTCAAAGCCGACAATACATTCTTGAACATGGACATCATGGATAACTGAATACCAGAGACCTGAAGGTGAATGGGCCGTGACACCATCAAGGGCAAGAGGGAGATGTCTGTGTGTGTGTGTGTGTGTGTGTGTGTGTGTGTTTATCTGCCAGCTGACTCAGAGGTGCCTGAGGGGACACTTGATGTTTTTTTAGAGCTCCTTTCTCTTGTCAGCAGCATTCCACACACACCTGAACCCTGACGATTTATGTTGAGTGTACCTCCTTCAAACTAATGCGCCCCTTAATGTACACACGCATGAATGCTTGTACACACCCACAAACTGTGTTAATTGTGTAGTGTATGGTAATTCTTACTCAACATTTTCCAGGCAAAAATGAGCCTGGAGCAATATTCAGATGAGTAAAATGATTCACGTTGCTCATGCGTTTGTGAAAGGAAGCTGTAATATACTTTTACATCTTACCGATGATACTTTTTTTTATAAATTATGGGATCAAAATAAGTCTATGATGTTGCTTTATTTTGCCCTCTGTGACTTGTCTGCCAACAGAAGATTGTTTTAAATGATAGCCTATAGCCTAAAACAATCACTCCCCATATATCTGGAGAGAATGAAAGACAGACCTCTCCTCTGGTTTGGTGTCAGAGGGCAATCGCTGCTTTTATCAAGGTTTGCTTTGGAGATCAAGGTGTGCAGAAGATAAAAAAAACCAGTGTGAGAAGAAAAAGGTTTATTTTGATTTAGTGTAAAAGATGACTCAAACCGAAAGGTCTCACATAAACACAGACTCTGAGAAACATCCAGGCCCGGGCGTGAGTGTGCAAGTGTGTGCGCACTCATGCATTAACACTTGCATATGTAGAGGCACGCACAAACATCTTCACCTGTCACTGGCTGAAAAATAGAGCTCCCAACAGGTTACTGTTTGAAGAATGCAGATAAGACATAATCCAGCTTTTCCTGGTCTGAGTGTGTGGTTTTGTTTACTTTGATTACTGTATATGTGACTTTAGATGTGGCTGGTACAAAGGTTAAGGTTAGGTTTAAGGCTAAAGTGAGTCTTACATATGTATAGGTTCAGGTAAGAGTTCAAGTAAGACCAGTGGTTTCTAAACTTTCTGCTTTGTGAACCTTTGTGCAGTGTGCCCGTGCGACCTTACATTACAGCTCCCATGTGTTTATGTGTTGTAAGCAGTTCAGCCATATTTTTCTTCCTGAGATCATTTCATTTAAATACGTTTTGAAGCCTGATAAGGAAAAGCTATTTAGTATTTCACAAGAACATAGAAAACAGAGAAACAGCCAATAACAATGGACAATTTTGTCGAGCTGAAATCTACTTTTTCTTCTTTCCCATCCCATCAATCATCGCAGAAGCCTTTAGATTTATCCTGCAGCCTGTTGCAGGGTTGTGACTCCTAACCCCTGGTTTAGTGGTTAGTCCAAAATAAATCTAAGGGGATGCAAGATGATCAAAGGAATAAGAAAAACAACTCAGTATTGTTTTCCTTCTGTCTCTCTATTGCTTTTTCTTGTGAAATACTGCAATTCTGGAAAAGATGAAGATAAAGGAAAATAAAGGGAAAAACACACATTGCACAATGCTAGATATTACTTTGATAAAGACAATAAATAATGTTTAGTTCTTTTTGTGTTATTGTATTGTTAACCTGCTGAATGCTACTTTCCATGTCCCATTTTGAATGTTCTCTCTGATGATCGGCAGGTCGGGGCGCTGGCCAGTAACAAGGATTGTTTGTCAGGCCAGTATACAACCAGCGGAGAGTGCTGCGAGCAGTGCCAGCCTGGTGAGGGTGTCGTCAGACCATGTGGAGTCTCACAGACTGTCTGTGCCCCCTGCCTTGACAGTAAGTAACACAAACAACAGTTGTATCAAAGTCCTGTACGCGCACACAGGATTTATAATGTGCATACGAGTGCAAAGACTATTATGCAGAAGTACACAAAAGCACATGTGTGCACTTGAACATGCCTGTTGCAGAGATAGTGACACATACATACATCATGTCATGCATTCAGTCCTGGTTTTGTTGACCAGTGGTAGTAATTTATTGTTTAACCGGACACAAAAAAACATGAAATTGCTGCCACTGTGACAGCCTCTCCGTAAGTTATGACCTCCTCATACAAACACTGGACTGTACTTACTGTCCCTGGAGAAGACATATGGTTCAAACAGCAGTTTTCTTTTTTTTTTTTTGACTATTTGAGTCACTCTAAGTATGCAGGATCATAAATTTCAACAATGTTTCCGCAAAGTTCGAATTAGGATCCAAAAAAATCCAGTTGCTGGCCTATAAAACGGAAAATAAATCTGCACAATGTTCGTTTCTGTAGTTTTTGGCAGACAGTCTTGTTTTATATGACATTAATAGTTTTATCAAGTTGCTAAAGCCTTTTTTATTGTCAACTAGTAGTGGTTGTAGCTCTTTATTAATCCCACTCTTAGACTTTTTTGCAACAGAATTGAATGTTTAATGCAATAAGTCTGACTTTTAAATCAGGAACATAAATAAGACAGACAGTCAGGCTAGCATTTCTTTGAGGCTGTAGTTAGACACAGTAATGTGTTATGGTAAATGCGAATCAGCATGCTAACATACTCATAGTGACAATGCTAACTTACTGATGTTCAGAAGGTAACATTTATTCAAACTTCCTTTGGATGTGTTATATTTGGGAATTAGTGCTAAACAAATTACAGTTGAGCTGAGCTGAGTTTCAGTTTGTCTAGAGGGGGACACATATGTGTTTACTGAATTTCATGCCAATCCATCCAAAAGCTGTAGAAATAGTTTATTCTGAACCAAAACCATCAACCTCACAGTGGCTCGAGAGGGAAAGTCAGGGATCACCAAAGTCATAAGGATACATCATCTGAGAACAATGACTGTTGGTATCAAATGTTGTGCCAACCCATCCAGAAGATGTGAAAACTTTGACCTGCTGGTGGTGCTTGAAGAAAAGTCAGGGGATCACCTAAATAATTAGGATTCCTCTGGGAACCAAGGATATCTGTACCGAATTTCATTGCAATCTATCTAATAATTGTGACAATATTTCAGTTTGGACCAAAGTGGTGAACTGTCAGACTGTCTGATTGCCATTTCCATCTCCCTACAGTTTTTAGATTACTCAACATAATAGACCTCATTTGGAGGAAAGGTCAATGAACCATGTGTACCCAGCAGTGCATTTGAAGCAATTTAAGCCCATTATGATCATTATCGAATATCTGTGTTACTCTTGTCAGTAACTGACAAACTCCTCAAATATGATACAGATTGTAGCCTAAATGTAAAGCTTTAGATGGATTCAGCTGCATAATAAACTAGATGCCAGACCTAACTGTGTTCCAGCGTTACTGCCCTCCTCACGGCCCTTACCATGTAGGGAGAGAAGTTGTGTTGGACTGTAAGACTTTATGAGGACAGTGATGTTGAGAGGATACAAGAGTGGGGCCGATTCCAAGTGTTGTTGCAGACAGAAAACTGCAGTGGAAGATATTTAGAGCATCAGACTAGTTGTTATGTCACAGTGATTAAGAGGGTAAGCAGTGTAGATTTTGATTTTGTAAACATGGCTGGTGACTGAAGGGCTCAAAAGGATATTTAAGGTCCTCTGTAGGAGGTCGATTTCTGCCTGAGTGTTGGGAAAACAAATTTAACACGTTAAAGTATTTTTTGTAACTCTCCCATGTAAGGTCAAAGGTCAGCTTGAGGGTTGGTCCACAGCCAGTTCCTACACTGTTCCCAGAGAGCTAGGAAGTAGCTGTAAACCTCCCTAGGTCTGTGAAGGATGGCAAACTATGAGCCAAAGATCCCCACAGTCAGAAAATGTTTAAGGCTAAAGGTCATGAGAGAAGCCACAAAAATGGGGAAATTGAGATTTATTTGTATTTTTGTGGGGCTTCTTTGGAGTGATGTATGCTTTTATGAGTGCGTCTCAGATCAAGAGTTACATCTGGACAATATATTTGTGCCTTGTACAAAAACATTCAGTCCTGGACTGCTGGTCATTTAAATATTTGTTCTATTTTATATAAAAACTTCATATTGAAACCAGAAATTATTATAATTAATGACATCATTTGCTTCTCTTGTTGCGGCGTTCAGTTGCACAATGTGTAGGTCTTCAGGGTGATAATTTCCAGTCTGACAGTGCTTGTTCTGCTCAGTCGTGAACAAACACAGGTAGTGACAGGCTCTCAAAACTGTCATGAGGCCAGACAGCCTCTGCACTGACTCATGGAAAAAGAGAAATGCAAAGCAGATAGCTCTCCATCAGATAACATCAAAAAGATATTTTAAGAACACATCAAACATATTGATTAGCTCGCTAATGGAGGCTGATAGAGCTGGAGTGTGCGTGTGCAGAAGCATTTCAACTTGTTTTAAAGTCTCATCCATCAGTGGGTTGTTTAGTCTCCTACCTGTTGATTCATTAAAACGCCGTCCTGAAACAGTGATTGTCCAATCAGACCTTTGCATTTCTTCACATTTAAGTGGTGTGCAGGGGGCTGTAGTAAGGATGATAGTCTGAAAAAAAAAGCCTTAAATCTATCCTCTGTCTTGCTTGTTCATGTAAGCTAAGCGGCTAAATCATGTTAAGGGAAATCATGCTTACAGTATAATACAAGCTCTACATTGTGATTAAAAAACACTTTCTTTATTGACATGATCTTCTACATGGATCATATGGTGACGATGATTTTTCTTGCCAGTAACATGCAGCTAGCTCTACTGTTTTAGCATATTATAGCGTATGCAACCATCAAGTGCATATTAAATACTTTTATAGGACTCTAATTTTAATACAAATTATATGGAAACATTAAAAAGACAGCTGGAGGCAGAGTTTTCAACCAAGTGACTGAGTTTTAACTGATAAAATCTGCTAGACACAGTCATCATTTTAGCCGACAAAATTGACGCTTATAAGCTCGAAATAAGAAACTTGGTTTTGTTTACTTCTGTGTAAAATCAAAGATCCATTGCTTCAGTAATTACTGCAAACTTCAAGTGATAAATCTGCAGCTCTTATCATTGTAAATGTGCTGTTCAAGAATGGAAAACTTGACAGGCGTAGCACTAAATATGAGGCCTTATGGAACAATTACTGTAGTTTTCAAGAATTATGGTCAGAACTATGAGAATATGAACTTCCTCTCCAAGGTGTTAACAAAAACTGGTTGAAACTCTTTCTTTCTCAAACACAATCTTTCTTCCTAATATTCTTTCGACATCAACTCCCACCCACCATATGTCTTTGCTTGTGTTGTTTCAGGTCTGTCGCCCACAGTTAATAGCATGTAATGTGCACAAGCATCCATTTATAAGAGACAGACGGTGGTTTCCAAAAAGCGTTCAGGCTTCATTTACTACAGATAGTTAGCAGGGGCCGGCTGATGTGCTAAAGAGAACGTCCAGCTGAAACACACGGAGGAGTTGGGATGAATGAACAGTTGAGTGGAGATGAAACAGAGCAAGTACAGCTGTACAGCTGGAATGGAGACAAGGCTAACTTCTCAGCCAGAAGCTAATGGTTCACACACACACACACGCAAACACACACAAACACTGAGCGGATAAAGTCAGGAGCCCTTTTATGGGAGTTGAAAACAAAGCAAAGGATTGAATGTTAGACTAGAGGCGAAAGTACTGTTATGATATGATATGCTGAGCCAGGAAAAGACCGTCTGTACCTCCCTCCTCCCTCCATCACCTCCCCCTCCTTCACCCACCTCCCCCATCCATGCTGCAGGCTAGCTTTATTAATGTATTGACTTGCATTATTGATGCATGGCATTATGATAATGGCTCTGAGAGCACTCGTGGGGAGGAGGGGCGATTGAGGGGTCTGAGTGTGTGTGTCTGTTGGAAGAGAGGGAGGGTGTTGGTGGAGATAATGGGGTGAGGGTGGGGGGAAGCAGCGTATGACTGGACACATAGTTTGTCCACTTCCTAAAGATATAATTAAACAAAAATGTGAAGAACCCACATTTGACACCGACAATTTAGGACACAATTGCACACCAGGATTCATTTCAGATGACACAGTCTCCGCTTTCTTGCGTCTCTCCATTTGTCTCTCTGTCTATCTCTGAGCGTCTATCTATCCTCATCTCTGTTTTAATCTCTGCATCATCAGAGCGTTCATCGTGGTTGGTGGGCCAGTGACGCAGACCGAAAACTTGATATGATTTCAAGCTGGAAAGGCTCTACAACCCCCCTCCTGTCTCCTACCACACACAGTTTAGTTTAGTTTAGTTCATAAATGATGAATATGCAACAGTTTTTAAACAAAAATCCCAAACATTCTGTGGCACCAACTTCTAAAATGTGAATATTTGCTGGTTTTCTTCGTCTTCTCCAATAATATATTTAATATCTTTAGGCTTTGGACTGTTGGTAATACAAAACAACCAAGTTTCATCATTGATTAATCTGCTAATTGTATAGAAAATAAATAGAAAAAATCAAGGCTGAAGGTTGCATTAGACAAGAAAAGCAGAAAAACCTCACAAGTGAGAAGTTGGAACAACAGAATATTATATAATAATATATAAAAAGGACTAAAGGGCTTATTAACCTAGATGTCTTTTCTGTCGATTAACTAATTAATTGACCAACTGTTTCAGCTCTTCTTCACATTGGCTCAACTCAAAATAAATAAAATGTTTGTTGAATATACTTGTCAACACATACTGTGTGATGGAGATCTTGAGGTTTACTTTTACAGTCTACCCCCCAACTCCCTCTCTCCCTCTCTCTTTCACGCACACACACAAGCTGCTCTTACAAATAGGTCTGTTGCATAATTTAGTGTGTTTCCCAGTTCTCTATCCAGCCGAAATACAATTCCATAAAACATGCAATATTGATTGTGTCCTTTGCAGATAAATCTGTCCTAGCAAATCTTTCAGGTGTACAAAGCATTTATGAAAATGTATATTCTCTGTGTATATATGATGTATGTAAGTTCAACAACTAAAAACTCCTTTAAAAAAAAAAAAAAAAATTCCTTTAGTCTTTTCTTTTCCAAAGTGACCACATGCCCATCAGGGAAAATTACCCTAAAACTGAATTCCCATGTTAGTGTGACTTGAACTCAAATTCATTCACAGAACAAAAGCCCTTCTCAAGATGTTCACAGTCCCACTTCGTGACACACATTTAATGGATTCGAAAACATATGATATGATCAAGTGATATAATGAAAATATTATTTATAAATACAGAACATTTTTGTTCCCTGCATACTTAAGTCAAGGCATGGACCTGAAAATGTCAAACTAACATATTTGATCTAGTATACTAGAGTGGCGAGTTGCAGTTTTTAATGTATATTTTAGGCCTTTGAAAGTGGACAGTTGAGAGAGTCCACAGGAAGTTAGGGAAGAGAGAAAGAGAATTACAAAAATGAAGAGGATAAGATAAAAGCATGAGAAAATATCTCCAGATCTATAATCAGAAAGGAAAAAAAACTTAAAAGCCAGTATGTGTAGAATTGGAAAACTCAGACCTTAGTTGGCCCTTTGGCAAACAGTAATGCATGCAGCCACTGCCCACTCTATTTAAAAAAAATGCCATGAGAACAATTTGAGACAGCCCTTTTTCATATTTAAAGGTCAAATTAAAGGTCCAATCAGTATTGTAAATGCTTCTAAAGAGCAAATAAAAAGTCAATTTCTGCTCTTTCCTTTCAGGTGAAACCTTCTCAGAAAACTTCAGTCACACAGAGAAATGTCAGCCCTGCACAGCCTGCACAGGTCTGCTCCGCATGAAGGCGCCCTGCACAGACTCCAACGACGCCACCTGTGTGTGCAACTATGGCTACTATATGAATGAACTCTCACAGCAGTGTCAACCCTGCACCAAATGTCCTGAAGGCCAGGGCATGCTGTACAGCTGTGAGCCTGACCATGACACAGTGTGTGAGGAGTGCAACGGGGACACTTACTCGGACCAGGAAAGTTCTCGGGAGCCCTGCATCCCCTGCACCACATGTGATGAGGGGGTGGACATTTTACAGCCCTGCACTTCTTTCACTGATACAGTTTGTGAAGGTAAGACTATTAGCTCACAGAGGTTTGTAGTGAAGCATGCATCATAGTGTACTTGTGCTGACATGTTGACACGTGCTATTACCTTGTAGATTCCAATTTTGGGCTATTTGCGGCCCTTCGCGTGGAGTTTTAGAAATGTTAGTAGGTGGATTTTTTTAAGTCATAAAACAGAGCTAGGCTAGCTGTTTCCCCCTTGTTTCCAGTCTTTATGCTAAGCTATGCTAAGCTAAGCTGAGCAGCTGCTGGCTGTAGAGTGGTATCGATCTTCTCGTCTAACTCTAGGCAAGAAAGTTAATAAGTGTCTAACTGTTTCTTTGAACTTAATAGTTTGTTGTTTCTCACATGCATTGGCTGCCATTTATACCTCAACATGGAACATAAAACAAAGATGCAATATAACTGACAAACTCCTCTCACATGGTTTTCTCTGGATTTTCTAGAGTAGCTAGGACATTGTTCTGATGTTTCCATTGAGTTTTACAGATGTCATGTTTTAATGCTATATTACATTTAATTAACCTCCACTATACTGTGGTATTAAGGAGAAATTGATGGATATCTCTCTTATTGCTGTCTTGTTATTTTTGCAATTTGGATGAACTGACACTTAAAAAATTGGCTATTAAGTTAAAACACTAAACTTCATGCAGAAAGATAATTCATGAGATCGTTTTACACTGAAAAGGTTAAAAAGTTATATTCCACTAAGTCTTTTTTTTTTCCCAAGACAACTAACTCACTTGTAAAGTGATTTATCAGCGATTTAGCAAATGGCTGTGGGATAAGCCTATCTAAACACTGGGCAAGTTTATCATGAACTTTTGTGCAGAGACAGTAAAGTTGAATGATGGGGTGCATGGCCCGGGGTTAGGATGTACTGAATAGACTTCATGTGAGCACATTCACTGTCCAGCACTGTATGGACAGTACGATGTACTGGACATCCACATTGTCAGCCACATAATCAGACCATCTCAGTGCGACATTGTAGACATTGTTGGCCCATCAACCTAAATGCCACGGCGAAGCTTGTCTCATTGTCTTCAGGGACTCATCCCTTCCACCGATACAAAGACCACACTCTTTCTATGTTGAGGGTTTAGAAGGAGGTCATATCTCCGAACGGGGTTGTGAATTTCTTTTATATCATTGCACCCTGTGGGTATCACACTCCAAATCACGAATTCCTTATGACTCTAGTCACTGCTCATTCCAATGACCTGATGCCTCACAGATTAAATCAACGCTTTTGTGATATGACAATAAAAGGATTCTGTTGATCAGCCATGCAGTCTGTTGGGGCAGCGTTTTGAAGGATGTTGTTATCACAGTGGTGAAGACAGAGTGAGTCTCAAGCTAAAGGGAGTCTTTTGTGCCTCTCCCATGATCCCATTTGGCCTGCGAGAGCATTCAGTTTAGCCCATGGGGCTAAGAGCTAATAATGAGTAAAACAGACATTGAAACTATAAAAGATTTGTCCTACATAATTATTATGACTATTTCTTTTGTTTTTGTCTTGTTTTGAGTATTTGTGTGTATTGCCTTGAGATTTAATCTTAAGTCACACTGGAGGATTTGTGTTATTTATAGGCTTTAAAAGTCCTGATCGTGTAGATATTATATTAAGTTGGCTGCTTGGGATGGGCAGACACTGAACAGAACCGTATTTAAAACCCCATTATGTCTCCCATGACGAGATTGTAAAATTGGGATGAATTTCCAGCAGGTTGGCTTCATTTTAATGAGGGTTGTGATAACAAATGAATTGTTTGATAAAAAACCTGGCTGTTTGACAAGTAGATGCATGTCAGTTTTCTGTTTATGCAGTTGCACAATCTGATTTCAGACTTGGCTGCCGTTAAATAGATCAACTGCAGTGAACTTGTTTTAACATAATTGGCATAGCATTTTACATATTGTAGTCTTTACTGACTGTGCTGTGATATTAATAAAACTTTGCTGCAAAACAGAAAGACCATATTGTCCGCCTTCACAGCCATCTGCAGGTTGATATTCCTTTTTTTTTTCATTTTGCTCTCTGTTGCACACTGCCACTTCTCTTTCCTGTCAACGTCACTGAGGACATGGCCATCTTGTTTGACTATAAGGACAAAACCGACAGACAGTGGGGGTTCTGTATAAATTAAGTGTGGGCACCAGTGTTGGGCAGTAAACCATTACTTAGTATTGTAAGGGATTACAATTTGACATTGTGTAATTAGCTACACTACAGTTACTAATCCCAGCAATCATTTGTTACTCCTGACTGAGGATTACCTTCTTCAGTTATTTACAGAGTTTATTGGAGGGTAGGGGAGACGTTTTGGCTGCGGACAAAGAGCAATTACAACATGTGGCGTGAGTTGATGCAACATTAGAAAATCGCTTTATATGAACCAGGGAAAATACCATTGACAGACAAACCTATTTGAATATCAGAAGTGGACACAACATGTACTTCTGTTTTCTTCCAGTGCTCTAAAAAACATCTTCCATTGAGGATAATAATGCAGCTTGATTCAACTTGTGGTCTGATAGAGAATTGTGGTGGATGGACAGATGATTCATCCAAGATCAAGATATAAGGAGCCAGAACTCCAATACTAAAATATCCTTTAGATAACTAACACAGTATACCTCATGATGAATGTGAATTTGCTGTGATTCCAGGCATGGCTGCTCACAGCCCACTGTGTATGGGTTTCATCATCATACGTTATTCCTCACTCTAACCCAATCATGTGCTCTTTATTTCTAATGTAATCTTTTTACCAAAGCACAAGCGTTATCAGTGCTTACAAATCTGTATAGCTACCAGATGTCCATATCCATTAGTATTGTGGAGTCAGGCAACACAGACCTGAAGGCTAAACACAGTCAGGAGGGTGGAGGGAGAGAGAGGAGCACACAGAAGGCCACTGCCTGTGAAAAGACAAGTTGTAACTTGAGACAGTGGAGACATAGTTTTAACTAATAGTGGAGGGACCAGAACATCACCTTGACTATACTGCAGGTTGTCTTTTGAGAGAAAGTTCACATACCCTGTGCGGTACTCCAAAGTACCCACGTATGGCCATTTGAGAAACACTGTGTGGGTGGGGAGGCTAGGAAGTTGTCTAATGAGAGAGCTGGGCTGAGTAACGAAAGTAATGAGAAATGAAACTCATTTCATTTCTCATGATGAATTTTCTCATGATGATTTAGCACTCCTTTGTGTGGAAACAAGCTCAGCTGTTAGGTGAAAATCCAATTTCCTCCCACACTTGCAGATGGATTAGTGGTTTGTTTTAAGTCTTGCAAGAGAAAAACTCTTTCTCTGATGGTAAAACATTCTCATACCGCTCAGACTTTGTTAGGCTAGACCCTCGGAGTTGAGGGTCTGAAGGCAAGATGCTTATCTAAAGGAGTGTGATATGACTTCCACTCTTCTGCAGGCCGCCGAGCAAGGTCAGAGGTTGAAGGTTATGGGAGGCTTGGATGTGGAGGGGGTCTTTGTGGGAAGATCAGGCAGTATGAGTTTCCCCTGGGGATCTGCACTGAACAACATGGCATAATCCCCACAATCCTTTCAGGGGTCACAACAACACGAGACAAGTGAAGTTGATTAGCGGTCTTATTAGCTGCCCTTCGGAGTGACTTCTACTGTGCTATCGTACATCAGCTAAGACAAACCAATACTGTAAGGGTCAACCTTGTCTGCTATATATATTTGAGGAAATGTTAATTTTCTGGCAAGATGCACAATGTTGAACACATCAGTAAAATGTTTCTTGACAACATATTTGCTTTCCAGGAAAATATTTTGCAGCATTTGATCCTGGGCTTGGTTTAATACGGAAAAAAATGTGCAGTGCACAAGACACAATGTATTTATTATGATTTTACACGGAGCAAAGCCACAAACTTTCAAAATACTTTTGTTGCCTAAACTGAACCACATGCAGGACACAGGATATGAACCATGGTCTCTCATGTGTCAGTCCTGAACTTCACACTTTTCGAGGTACGTAAATGTACTCAAGAACTTAATTTACTTAAAAAACACCTTGCCTATAATTCAGGCAGAGAGGATGTTTGTCACCATAACGTAATTGGGAAAGCAAGTTAGTGCTTTATAACTATAATTTCTAGGAGACAGAGTCGGCATGGATGGTCCTATCAGAGATGGAGGGGTTTGCTTTGCAGATGACATGACTAGGTAAGAAAGTGGTTTGCAATATGGCTAATAATAGGATTGGTTACAGGGTAATGCCTGTAAAGCACAGAGACAAATTTATCTGAAAATGCACTATCAATAGGAGTGGCCAACCATGCTAACACACTGTGATAAGGTCCTTTCATGGTTAAAGTTGAATGACCAGTGCTTGAGTTCGACAGAGTGGTTGCTGCCTGTTCTTATCAGCCTGAGGTTTTGAGTACAAGCCCTCAAGGCTACTGGGAAACAGAGGCTTTCACTCTTCGACCCTGTTCTTCCTTGAGATTGTACCCAGGAATGACTGCACATATGTGGTCTGACCTATTACCCAAAGCCTGGATTCCTGGTCCTGTGGAAGCAGGGGCAACAGTTTGAGGATTGCAGCATGCATGCAATTATATTTTTCATGCACATACACGCTCTGATAGGAAGTTTACAGCATTACTTAAATATGAGTCACAAAACACACAAACTAAACCATATGTAGCCCATGCAGATAGGCATTGATACTCTTGCTCTATTGCACAGATTAAAATCAATAAGCTGATTTATTGAACATTACAGATCTGAGACAGCATATGGAAGGTCGAGTGGGTGCAGTTAAGAGGAAGCAAGAGGGGGAGGGTGATTGGACCAAGTGCATTTGGTTATTGAAGTGATAGGTGAGTAGGTGGAAGGGGCTGTTTCCTTCCTGAGTTTGGTTGACCTTAACGATCGACAGGCCGCCCTCCAGAAATCAAAAAGCGTAATCTGCTAACTAGCCCCATGCACAGCACTCAGGGCCAGACCAGTTCAACTAAATCAA